AAGCAATATAAAGAAACCTTGTCTTGAAAAACAAAAACAAACAAAAACCCCACATAATATACTTTTTGGGGTGTGTGTGTAGGTTTGTGCCATATTGAGAACGTGGAGATTGGAGGACAACTTGCTACACTCAGGTGTTTTTGTTTCCTTTTGTTGCTTTTTTTTTGTTTTGTTTTGTTTTTCATTCAACTGTGAAATAATAGGTTGCAAGAGTCTAGAAAGATGGCTTAGTGGTTTGGAGAACTGGTGGTTCTTCTAGATGACCTGAGTTTGATTCCCAGTATACACATGTGGGTCACAACTGTTTGTAACTCCAGTCCCAGGGGAGCTAATGCCCTCTTCTGACCTCTGAGAGTACTGCATCAGGTGGTGCATAGACAAACAGGCAGACAAAGACCCTACACATTAAAAAGAAACTAAAGGGGATGTGGGGCAGATTAGAAGAGGGATGTGAGAAGGCAGGAGGTGGGTGAGAGGCTGGAAAGTGGGGGAGGGGCATCACAGCAGTTTTGGAGAGTGAAAACCTGAATGCTAAGGGGAGGAAGGGACAGCAGCTGCGCAGGCAGCTGGTGGCAAAGACTTCATGGTCATCTTTTCCTTCTTGAGGGAGTCTGGTGAAGAGGTCTGGGCTAGGGATAATGCCCAGCTGCTTACAATCTAGATGGTAGCATTGAAGCATGGAGTGTTGAGGGACTCAGATCCCCAAGGACTAACCACTAAGTCTCTGGAGACTGGTGTTCAGTGCTCCCCAGAAAGAATGACCCCCGTGCCCAATGTCTTTGGCATTTAGAGATAACCACACTGTGGTGACCTTGGCAGAAAGCTGTGGGGTAGCACTGCTTAGATTGGGGAGTGAGTGGGAGGTGAGGACATGGATAGAAGGGTGTGAACACCCTTTCAAGAAGCCCAACCTGGGGGGGGGAGGGGGAAGCAGTAGCTTTAGCTGGAAAGAGAAGCCATAGTAAAAAAAAAAAAAAAAAAAAAAAAAAAAAAGGCTGGAGAGAGAGGTAAGGGGGATTTGGCTGGGGTCCAGAGGCAAGGGTGAGGCAGATTTCAGGGTTGAGGGGAAAAGACTCATGAAGAGGTAGATGAGAACTGAGCACTGTAAGGCTAGGCAGAGGGTACTTGGGAGTGAGGAGGCAGTAGAATACATCCTTTGGCAGTCAATGGGAGGGCACATGGATGGGTGGGCCAGGCTGGTATTTGCAGGGTTGGTGAAGTAACTGGGGCTCTGGGTATGGTAAACAGACCTGTTTGGCTGAACAAGGTACAGGCTAGAAAGCTCTCTGGTATCATGGTGGGCAAGATTTTCAGGAAGACAATAGGGAATCATGGAAGGTTATTGAATGGGAGTGGGCCACAATGGAAAAATTATTGAAGACATTGTATACGGCTATGTGTTCACTGTGGATGGACAAGATCAGACTAAGGCAGGGCTCTGGGTTGTGGGTAAGTCTAAAGGGAAGCCACAGATTGTCTGATGTCACCGAGAAGCTTCTTGGACAGAGGTCAGACCCAGGAGTCCCTCTGTGGGTCCAGTAGATCAGTGGTGATGGCCTTCATCTGTTTCAGAGTGTGGGCCACTTCAAGCAGCAGTAAGGGAAAGCCTGCTGGGTAGGCTGGCCCCACAAGGAAACCGGTATTGAGGGATGTGCTTACTGCATTACACCTGAGATGTTATTGGATAGTCTTAATAATTGATGAGGTGAAAATTATTCCCTCTTAGGAGTGGAGGAGCAGAGGGTCAGAGAGGCCAAGTCACTAACATACAGCCACACAGTGAGCAAGAAACAGAGCTTGGGAGTCACCCTGGATTGGCACTCCCTGGTTTGTGGTGGTCTAGTGTGTTCCACCCTGAGAGGTTCTGGGTAGCTCTGAGGTGGGGCTTACTGCAGATGGATCTAAGGTTCAGTGACTTCCATGACCCAGGGTAGATGGATGGGCACCAAAAGTCAGGAACCTGTCCAGGAGCTAGGATCCCCTAGGTGCCAGGCTCAACCTCCTTGGGAGGACAGTCATTCTCTGGCCAAGGTGGGTCTCTTCTGTTCTGGACTGTTACCGCCAGAGGGCGCAGCTGTTGCCCAGGTGAGGGTGAGGGGCCATTCACCCAAGCAGCCTCCAGAAGCTGGAAGCTGCCTCTTATGCAGTCTGGGGAGGCCCCTGTCGCTTTCCTGTCTGTCAGCCAAGGCCTTTTGAACCCTTCCTAGCTTCCCAGACGCTTGGCTCTGGGTGTTAAATTTCCCTGGCCCTGAGGGTCAGGAAGCCTGGGGTCCAACTCTCAGACTTCATAGCTACTTCTGCTTGGTCCAGAGCCTCCTTCAGCCTCTGAGCTGAGGTGGTGCCAAACACTGGATGGGCACCATTCAGCATTTTTTTTTCTCACAGAGGGGGTGGGGTGGGTGTTACTAGAGGGAGTGGTGATCACCAAATCACCAATAGGGCTCTGAGATGCAGAGGAGTCACCCTGGGTCCCCAGCAGGCCAGAAGGCCCCTAGGGGCTCTGAAGGAGGAATTCTGTCTAAAGAGTACTGAAGCGGGTAGGGAGAACTCCCCATGCTCCTTCCTGGGGCACCTCCCATGCCCACCTCCTCCAAACAGGGGAGCATTTCCCCTTCCAGGTTGCTTAACCAGGTCTCTGCCTGGGTCCTGCCACTCTCCTTCCTCCACTCCAGGCCTACCAGGCTGCTTCCCTCCCTAAGTTTAGCCCCTTGGCTGTGGCCACTGAGCGCCTGGCGAGGGTCCCAGGCACCACACCACAGCAGCCAGCCTCCAGCCTCTTCTCCGGACAGTCCCAGTCTGTCTAGCAGGGCTGGCAGATTAGGGATTGGCTGGAGCTGCCCCCGCCTTTGAGAGGAGGGGAGGCCCGGTGGCTCACCCAAGGTCACCCTTTTCCTTCCCAGCATCCCTGTTCAGCCCTTGTCCCTCTGCCTCACCTTGAAGAGGAGGAGGCAAGATGCCCAGCAGGTCTAGCACACAGGAGCCCAGCTAAGGGGAAAGGCTGTGGGCTCCAGATGTCTGTTGTTTCCTTCAGCAAATGCTGAGTGCCTGCTGTATGCTAGGCTCTAAGAACACAGCAGTGAACACAATGATACAAGCTATCAAGCACGTTTATGTCTGTGAACTGAGGAGTAAATTAATGAGTTGTTCTGGGAGGCTGGGCTAGAGCAGGCTTTCCTGGGGATCTGAGAGCCCAGGAGCCTTTCAGGGCCTAGGCAAGGGAGGCAAGCTTCAGGCAGAAGCCTGTTTGGGACCTAGCAGAGCCCCAGTTCCTTCATCTGGAAGAGCACAGGGGACAAATGTGCCTGATTGTGGGCTTGGGCTTTCTGTGAGGCAGCCTGTGCCCTGGCTTGCATCCCCTAGAAGAAGGTAGGGCGCTGTTGTGTTCACCTTCCCTCCCTGTGGGCCAAGAGTGGAAGCTCATCCGTCAAAATGGCGGGAGAGCATTCCCGGGAGACCTGAGCTCTCGACAAGCTTGCAGGTGGCCTCAGGGAGGTGAGGGACCCAGTTCTTGCAGCCCGCCTGCTGCATGAGAGGAGGGGCTGGTCCCTGGCTGCCTCACTTCCTTATCACACCCCATATTCCTGCCCACGTGGCATTCTGCACCCCACATCTGAGGGAAGAATATTCCTGACCTTAGGACGTGGGGACTAGAGAAAGGTGGGTGGGACCTGGGGTACTGTGGCGACTGGGTCCTGTGGCATAGCCACACCCCACAGTCCTAGGGCTGCAGGGAGGGGGAGCTGTCTCTTTAAGAGCCTCCAGGCTGCCGGGAGCAGATGGCCAGACCGGCCAGGGCCCCTTGTCCTTTGTGTGCCTTAGCACAAAAGAGGGGGCCAGCTGGGGAGGGGGCGGCTGCAGCAGGTGGGAGGGGTGGGGCCTTGCCGCTCCCCTGTGCCCTTGAAGCCTGGGGATGAAATTGATCACTAGGAACCAGCCACCTCTCTGAACCCTGTGGTCCCCACAGTTGTCCCCAAACTCTTCTGATGCCCCTCTTGTGTTGTGTCTCAACTCCTTGGCATTAGATTCACTACATCAGATAGCCTCACAAATAAATAATAAAACCTCCTTGCCCTGCCCCCACCCCAGGGGAGGATCTTCCTTTGGTGTGCGTTTGGGGAGGGGGGGAGGCGATCAGGGCTGGCTCCAGGGATAAGTGAGAACAGAATTGGGTCCTAGCTGTGGGAGGAGTGGCTGTAGGACAGAAAGGAAGCCAGTGGCTTGGGACCCTTGCTAGGCCTTGTGCCAGGGCACTTGGGGCAGCCCTGGAGGAAGGAGACAAGAACTAAGCTTGATGCTTGAGGCCTGCGGTGGGGTGGGATCTTGGCCTAGGATCCTAGGTTCTAGTGTGGAAGGAGGCAAGTAAAACATGAGGGAGCCAATGGAAGCCTTGACTAATGGCTGCCTGAAGCAAGAAAGACGCCATCATAGGAGAGTGTGGTGTGCACAATGGCTACCAGCTAGGCAAAGGCATAGAAATAGGAACACCTCCCTAAAGGGCAGATAGAGGTGTTGGAGACAGGTCTAGCTCCCTGTCACTCATTTCTAGGGGTCACCAGAAGTCACTTTGCCTGTTGGAATAGATCCCCTTCAGGTCAGATCGCCTCTGGCTCATTCTTTCTTTGTCTCAGATCTCTCCATCCTGGGGCTTGGTGCCCAGCTCATGATTTAAAGGGAGGAAAAAGGCCCCATCACTCTGGACCGAGGTGTGGCGGGCAACGTGGCCGCTGACTGGGTGGCCCTATGTGGCCCGATAGTTAGTGCCGAAGTCGGGTGGGGTCGTGTCTGCCTCGGCCGGCTCAGCAAGGAACCCCAAAGAACAGGACGCCCCAGCCAGGTCATGGCCTGACCGCAGGACCCCGGCCGGTCCGCCACAGCCAGTGGGTGGGGGCGGGGTTCCCCGGTTGGGGCCAGGGCTGCTTCTAAATTTAGGAATCTGATTACAGAGTGGCCAAGGAAGGGAAGGAGAGTGCAGGCTAAGCTCGATCTGGGCATAGCGGAGTGTGCCTGGATAGAGGCGTGTCCAGGAGTCCGAGGCTCCCCGTGGGAGGGGCGGCGGGCGGGGGCTTCGGCCTGTGTGCGCTGCAGCACGTGCCCCAGGCGGCGGGGATGGGCACGGGCGCAGCTCGGAGGCTTCGAGCTGCTGCCGGTGAGTGCGCTGGCTCTTTGTGTGCCTGGCAGGGTGGCTGGGTCTGGCTTTGAAAGTCTCTGCCCACCCCCTCCCCCAACTCCGTCTGTGCCTCCCAACCGGCTTCCCTGTCTGTCACTCTGCCCGTGCCTGTCCGGGGGGAGGGGGATGTTGCTTCCAGCTGGGGTGACAGTGAATCAAGCGGGGACTCGTCCCCGTGAGCCCAGACTTTGCCCTATTGCTTCCATACCCATTCCTCTTCGGTACCACTGTTTTGGGGGCGCAGACTACAGCAGTTAAGAGACACTAGGGTGACCCCTGGGAACCTACAGATCCAGCAGAAGTCAGGTTCTGGCCCAGTAGCTCTTGGAGAAATTCATCTCGTGCCTGTCCGGCCTCCCATCCGCTTTGGCCCCCAAGGGCGCATGAAAGGGGGGGTTCCCCTGTGGAAGGGGGGCAGGGAGTTCCTTGGCAGGAAGAGAAATGGAAGGAAAAGCTGGGCTCCACCCGGGCGGGCGGACAGGCGGCCTCTGGGCCCCTGGGGCAGACCACAGTAATCGGAGCCCACTAGTGTGTGGAGCCGGTGTGCTTGTGGGTGGGGCTGACCCCGGGGCTTCTCCTGGGGGGCACTGAGGTCTACCTACGGAGGCCAAGTCAGAGAGCTCAGAGACACTAGGGGCTGTCCCGGGGGGGGGTACGCACGCCCCATCATGGTCCTGACCCCACCTCCTGGAGGTCTAGCCCCGGCCCTAGGCCCCGCCCCCAGGGCCCTCCCTCCCACCCCAGGGCCAGATGTTCAGCTGGCGGAGGCATCGACTGGGGGAGGGGTGCTGAGGCCGCAGCCGGCACTACTTCCCTGCCAGCAGCTTCATTGTGTGCGCGAGGAGCGAGCGGCGGCGGAGAGCGGGCGAGCGAGCGGCGGTAGCGCGAGCGCGGCGGGGCGAGCGAGCGCGCCGGGGAGGGTGCGAGGCGGCGCCCGCGGCTGCGCTCCGCCCGCCTCCCGGCAACTCTGCTCCAGCGCCGCACGCCGTGCGCGCCGTCCCGCCGCCGGGGCCCCCGCGGGCTGGCGTGGCTGCCGTGGGGTCCGGCTGGGCAGGATTCCCCCACTGGGGACTGGGCATCCTCAGCACAGCCGAGGGGTGCGGAGCCCGCAGCGGCATCCACTGTGCGGCAGCCTTCGCCGGCCGAACGGCGTGGGTAGGCGCGCGGCGCGGCTCCGGGGCTCCCCGAGGGCAGCGCGCCCCGACTCCTCCCTGGGGAGCCCCAACCCCGAGGGGCGCACGGAGCGAGTGTGCCCCCAGCCGCGCCGTCCCCCACATACCCTCACTTCTTCACAAACTTTTCAGCCGTCCTCGTCGTGGGGGTCTCAGTGAGCGCTAGGGCAGCAAGCCCTCCGGGGCCCCGACCTCTCGGACCCTAGCCACGCTGACCTCCCGCCTCTCGTAGCCTCAGTGGCGACCTCTCCAGGCCGGGCCGGGCGCGGCACTCGAGGCAAGCGCGGCAAGCTCCGACGCTCTCCAAGGGCTCCTGCGCCCCCCGGGGCAGCCGGGCGGGGTAATGCCCTCGGTGATGGAGAAGCCCAATGCGGGCTCCGGGATCCTGTCCCGAAGTCGGGCCAAGACGGCACCCAACGGCGGACAGCCGCACTCGGAGGATGACAGCAGCGAGGAGGAGCACTCGCACGGTGAGCCCGGTGGCCTAGGGTTAAAGGCGCGCTAGCCTGGGGAGGGGACGCGAAAGGTGGGGAAGGGGAGAGTTGCAAACCACAGATGGTTTCTGGCGCTCCTGATTTGCAGCCTTTGCTTTCTCATGCTTGGGGCTGCCGGCACGGGGAATCAACAGCCTGGGCCGCTGGCCACCTACCTCCCCTTTGCCCTCAGTCGCTGAGGGAGCTTAGGGTGCTTCACTTGGATGTAGTGGGTCCGTCATACCTTGTCACCTTGCAGGGGACTGAGGCCTGATTGGGCCAGGGGCTGGAAAGACACCTCCATGTGGAGCTGTGAAGCTCATGTGGCGCGGAGGAGCCCCGGGTTCCCTGCAAGGATGTGGTCCAGGTCTAGGGGCAGCTCTCCAAGCCTCCACCCCCCAACCAGAACAAAGCACTTTGCTCTGGCCTGGGCTTTAAAACTGTCCTCTTAACCCCCTCCCCCCAATGGCCATGACTAGGCAGGGTCTCTCTTCCAGTCCCCTCTGTCTCAGGGAAAAGTGAGTCTCCTGGGTGGTGGGGGCCTTGAGTGGTCAGGAAGGAGAACTCCAGATCAGCTACCTCCCCCGCCATATCCTTCCCCCCACTTCCCTGGAGTCTTGACTGCCTCCCCTGGCTCCACAGACAGCATGATCCGTGTTGGAACCAATTACCAAGCAGTAATTCCGGAGTGCAAGCCTGGTGAGTGGCAGGACAGACATAGAGGGAGGGGTGGAGGCTGATGGCTTGGCCTGCAGCCCCACCTGGGAACTCTTACTCTTGGCTGGCTCATGCTTGAGGGACAGGCAGTGGGCGGGGTGGGTGGCCCCGTGGCACTGTTACTTTTCCTGCTCTGCCTTCCTGTCTGGGTCTCTGCTCCTCCTTCCCTCCTGGGCCTCACCTCTCAGATTATCTGACTGTGTTGCTTAGTGGTCTCCTGTCCTGAGTGCCACAGGGCTAATTCTCCTCTTTTGCCTTTCAGAGAGCCCAGCGCGCTATAGTAACAAGGAGTTGAAGGGGATGTTGGTGTGGTCACCCAACCACTGTGTATCGGATGCCAAACGTGAGTGGGGTGGGCCCTGGTCAGGCTCAGTCTTGGGAGCAGGGCTCCAGCTCTTCCTTAGGAGTGGGCTGCTAGTCCCACCTACCCTACATGAAGTAGGAGCATTGCCACAGCCTAGGAGCTTGAGACCAGCCTGGGCAGTATAAAGAAGGGGGCTGTAGCCTGACAAGTGGTCCTTGCTTTGGAGGGGCTTACCCTCTGTGACCCCACTCCTTCCCCCTGCAGTTGACAAGTACATTGCCATGGCCAAGGAGAAGCATGGCTACAACATTGAGCAGGTGGGCTGGAGGTCCCTGAGGGATGGGAGTGGGACAGGGCAGAACAGTATGGGCGCAGAACCTGAGCTGCTTGTGTGTCCTGGCCCAGGCACTCGGCATGCTTCTGTGGCATAAACATGATGTGGAGAAATCTCTGGCTGATCTAGCCAACTTCACTCCTTTCCCCGATGAGTGGACAGTAGAGGACAAGGTGCTGTTTGAGCAGGCCTTTGGTTTCCATGGCAAGTGTTTCCAGAGGATCCAGCAGATGGTAGGACTGTGTCCATGGCCCATTCAGAGCTCTCAGCCCTTTAGTCCCAGAAAGTATGCTTGGGGCCAGAGTCTCAGGTGGACTCCTGTTTCTGGCCTTGCCTCCCCAGCTACCTGACAAGCTGATTCCCAGCCTGGTGAAGTATTACTACTCTTGGAAGAAGACCCGAAGTCGAACTAGTGTGATGGACAGACAGGCCAGGCGGCTGGGTGGCCGAAAGGACAAAGAAGACAGGTGGGGTTGTTGTTGTTGGTGGGGGGCTGGCAGTATTTTGGGTTGGGCCTCCCCTCATTTTCTTCCTGGATCTGTGTCAGCAGTGATGAGCTTGAAGAGGGACGAGGAGCTGTGAGTGAGGGAGAGCCAGACCCTGGAGACCCCAAGCGAGAGGTGAGGTCCCCAGCTGTTCTGTCCTGTCTCCCCCCCAACTTGTCCTCAGAAATACACAGTGTTCTTTATGTCCCTTCAGCCTCTGCCATCTCGACCTCTGAATGCCCGGCCTGGTCCTGGGAAGAAGGAGATTCAGGTGTCTCAGTACCGCCATCACCCACTACGAACTCGGAGACGCCCACCCAAGGGCATGTACCTGAGCCCTGAAGGCCTCACTGCAGTATCAGGGAGCCCAGACCTTGCTAGCCTCACGCTCCGAGGTCTCGACTCACAGCTCATCTCTCTTAAGCGCCAGGTAGGGGCCCAGGGAAAGGGCCATGCAGAGGGGACTGTCAGGTCCTGAGACCTGTGAGGTGTTAAGAGAAATGATGCAGTGCCAAGCTTAGCTCTGTCACACTATCAAGGACTCAGGATAGCTTGACATTCTTTTGTTTTTTGTGTGTGTTCAGGTGTGCACATGTATGATAGGTGCATGGATACGTATGCTTTGGTGTTCATGTGGTTCTCTATTTCTACCTTTACATGAGTTCTGGGGAACAAACTCAAATTGTAGGGCTTCGTGGCAAGTACTTTTACCTGCTTGTCTGGCCACCTGGCCTTTTTCTGGGGGAGTAGGGAACAGGGTCTCATGTATACCAGGCTAGTCTCAAACTTGCTCTGTATTAGAGGGTAACCTTGGATTTCTGACTCCTGCCTGCACCCCCTACCCCCAGTGCTAGGATTACAGGCGTGTACTATCTTGCTGTTTGTGAAGTGCTGGGGAGCATGCATACTGGGCAAGCACTATCTATCAACTGAGCTACTCTCTAGCTCGGCAGCTGTCCTTGGCTGCATAGTGAATTTGAGGCTGTCTGGGGACACGTGAGACCACCTTGTCTTATTTTTTTGTCATTATTTTGTATGTGGGGCAGGGGCTCACACATGCCATAGTGCGGAGGTCAGACAGCTTGTGGAGTTGGTTCTCTCTACTCATAGGTCCTGGGAATCAAACTTAGGTCAGGATTGGTGGCAAGTTCCTTTTAGGGTATGTAGAGTATTTTGTGTATGATGCATATGTGGGCATGGGTGCCATGTGCTCACAGTGGCCCTCTCCTACCCTTACACGAGTTCTGAGGATCAAACTCGGGTTATCAGGCTTTGTGGCACAAGCACTTTCACACTTTCACAAGCACTGTTTCACCCCTTGTCCTCGTGGCAAGCAGCAGTAAACCCAACACTTGGGAGGCAGAGGCAGGAGAATTGGGAGTTCAAGGCCAGTCTTGACTCTATAGCAACTTTGAGGATAGCATGGGCTGTGGTTCTCTCAACAAACAAACAAACAAACAAACAAACATGAAAGTCCCAACATGGGCAAATCATCTTGAGGGAGGAATGGGCTGGATGGTGGTAGTAGCACATTGCTCTACTGAGGAAGGGCCTGGGAGAGGAGGTGGTGTTGGCCTCCTGGGATGCAGAGGTCCATGCTCTTTCTCCTTCTTGGCTTCTGTAGGTTCAGAGCATGAAGCAGACCAATAGCAGCCTCCGCCAAGCACTAGAGGGTGGCATTGACCCTCTTCGCCCCCCTGAGGTAAGGCTGTTATATTTGAGTGCAAAAGGGGGTTTTCCTTAGAGGCAGGACCGAAATGGTGTTTTGAGACAAGGTTTCTCTGGCTTTGGAGACTGTCCTGGAACTAGCTCTTGTAGACCAGGCTGGCCTCGAACTCACAGAGATCGACTGCCTGTTATCTCCTGAGTGCTGGGATTAAAGGTGGGTGCCACCACTGCCCTGCTTCTAGGAAGACATTTTTACAGAACACTTTTTCACATTTATTAACTTGGGTTGGGGTGGAGTTAGGTGGGGTGGCAGATGACATGTGCCATGGTGTAAATGTGGAAGTTGGAGGATAATTTGTAGGAGTTGGTTTTCTCTTTCCATGTTGTGGATCTTGGGGATAAACTCAGGTCATCAGGCTTGAAGGCAGAAGCCTTTTACTGCTGAGACATCTAACCAGCTCCAAATACCTATTTTTATTTATCTTTGTTTTTTAAAGATTATTTCTTTTCATGTGCATAAATTTTTGTCTACGACTTTGTTAGTGCAACACATGTATACATGCTGTCTATGCAACCCACAAGAGGGCACCAGATACCCTAGAGCTGGAGTTTCAAATGGCTGTGAGCCTTGAGTGGGTGCTTGTGTGGGAGCTGGGAACTGAGCACAGGCTCTCTGCTCAAGCAGCCAGTGTTCCTAACCACTAAACCATCTCTGTTCCCTCCTTCCCTTTACATATTTTTAATATAAGTTATTTATATTTCTTGCTTTTCAGGCCAATACTAAGTTCAACTCCCGCTGGACCACAGATGAGCAACTTCTGGCTGTACAAGGTGGGTCAGGCCGTGGCAAGAACTGAGAACCCTAGAGACTTCTTACCTTTCCGGGAGTTGAAGTGGAGGGGAAATAAATAGTTCTGGGGGGGCATTTACAGTCTGCTGCCCTTTTTGACCCTTACAGCTATTCGTAGATATGGCAAAGACTTTGGCGCTATTGCAGAGGTGATTGGGAACAAGACTCTGACCCAGGTGAAGACCTTCTTTGTGAGTTACCGCCGACGCTTCAACCTAGAGGAGGTGTTGCAGGAATGGGAGGCTGAGCAGGACGGGGCCCCTGCAGCTCCAGTCCCCATGGAAGAGGCCAAGCGAGGGGCTCCTGTGCCAGCCCCAGCCCTAGAAGATGATGATGAGGTGAGATGGGGGCAGGGGGGGTGGGGGTGGGGGGCATCTTCAGAGGAGAGGTGAGTTAGGGCTGCCAAGCACATGCAGGAGCAGCCTCCTCACCCTTTTCTCTCCCCTCAGGTCCAGATTACATCTGTCTCCACATCAGTACCCCGATCAGTACCCCCTGCACCACCCCCGCCTCCACCCCCCACCTCGCTTTCCCAGCCACCTCCACTGCTGAGGCCCCCTCTGCCCACAGCTCCCACACTGCTCCGCCAGCCACCTCCCCTGCAACAGGGCCGCTTCCTGCAGCCTCGGCTGGCCCCCAACCAGCCCCCACCACCTCTCATCCGCCCTGCCCTGGCTGCCTCTCGCCACAGTGCCCGCCCTGGTCCACAGCCTCCACCTACCCTGGTTGGAGCCCCCTTGGAGCCCCCTGCACCCTCAATTTGAGCCCTGGATCCTTCACTGCCCAGAGGCTCCTGATCTTTAGCATCACTAAGGACAGACGGGACTAGGGCCTTTGCCAGGTCTTTCAAAGACCCAGAGCTGCCATTTGGCACAGCTTGGACCTGTGGGTTCTGCATGTGTTCTTGGCAGCTGAGCTTGTCAACCCCCAGCCAGGGGCTAGAGCTCTCAAGGCCTGTAGGGACTGATTCCTGGCTGTGACTGGAATGGCTGCCTCCTTGCCTGCCTGCCTGCCTGCCTGCCTGTCTGCCTGCCAAGGGCTTGGCCTCTGGGCCTACCTTTGGGTGGGGGTAGTGACTTTAGTGTGGGGGGTTGGGGGAAGAGGACAGTTGGGGTGTTAGCTGGCCTCATAACCCTTTCCCTCCTTTTAGCAATAAGTCAGGTGCAGTGGAGAGGGGATTGGGGTGGGAAGGCCAGAGACCTGGCAGGAAGAATGGCCAGCAACTATTAGGGGGCCCACTTTGTCCACCCCCAAGAAACTTGGAGAAAGGAGGGTTGGGGACTTACACAGACATGGGTTTATTTTTCAATGTTTTTTGTTTTTTGTTTTTTTTTTTAAAAAAAGAAATAAATGCAACCTCTTAATGTATGAGTCTCCATGTCTTTGCCAGGGTGGAAGGGAACTGGCCATCCAGTGCTGGCCTCTCCCTGGACCTAGACAGCAACCAATTCTCTCCTGCGAGGCAGGCAGGCTAGGCCACATTTTGCCCAGGGGGTACTGGGTCCCTGCCCAGCAGGGAGAAGGAACAGGAGGCAGCAGCTCAGATTCCAAACATTCTCTTTATTACGTGTTTGATCCAGAGGAGAAACTAAGTGCAGGGTAGGGGAAGAGGGGGCTAGGCAGGGAGGGGCCACCTTGCCTGGGTGCCCCAGCCCCCACCCCATTCGCTGGGAGCCAAGCCATGCCCTCCTGGCCCCCTTGGAGCACCCGGGCTGTTCCATAGGGCAAGGGGAGGGGTGGTGGGGAGGAGCCCTTGGTCTGAGCCATAGCCAGTGGAGCATGGGGCTGGAGGGTTGAGGTTGGCAAGGTCCCTTCCTGGAACCCAAAAACTCAACCTGTAGGTGAGTCTGGCCTGGTCTGGGAGCCAGGGCGATGAATGGGTGAGGGTGGGGGGTGGTGGTGACACAAGACACTGGGGCTAAGGGTGGAGTCATTGTAAATCAAAAAGAAAAAAAAATAAAAAAAAAAAAACCCATCACAAAAAAAAAAAATGTACAACTCAGGTGAGGGTAGGGCAGCCTCTGTAAGACTCCCCCAATTTCTCAAGAACTGAAACAGCAGAGAAATAAATTAAGGGATGCAGTGGCCGCCACCAGCCAAGCGCCTAGAGCCACCCATTCATACACTGGCCTTAGAGGTTATTAGCAAGCGGGAGTCACTCTGTCCCACCCTATGGAGGACAGAGGCTCCTGGACCTGCCGCCCGATCCAGCCTTCCGCCAGGCAGCCATGGAGGCCCTGGACAGTCTCCTGAGAGGGGGGGCGGCAGCGCCAGGAAGAAAAGGCAAGGCTGAGAGATGACGACGGTGCCCAGACTAATGCCAAGGAAGGGGAAGGGGGGATGGGGGGGTGAGGGGCTGTGCTTTCAGACAAAGACGCCCAGAACGGAGAAGCCTGTGTCCCTGTTCCCAAGGGGGTTGAGAGCCCAGGCCCCTCTCCCTCCCCTCTCCCAGTACTGGGGTAGCTCCACTTTCCGCTGGGAAGGTGGGAGAAGATGGCACAGACTTCTGAGGAGGGGAACAAACATTCCCCACAGCAGCTCATTGAAGGAAATGCCCAGCTCTAGGGAAGGAGAGCAGAGGATACGGTATGGAGGGAGCCAGGGTCCCACCGCTCACCCTCACCAAAGCTGTGCCGTACCCCCACCGGGCCCCGGTAAAGGCCTGTAGCCCAAAGGCCTGGGTGGGGCAAGGGAAGGCCACCTCTGGTGGGTCGCTTGGAGGGGAAAGGAGTTGGGAGAGAGGAGAAGCCCAAAGTGGGCCTGGCGGAGGGCCTGCCAGGGAACTCCACCACTCTTGCCTGAGAGTGTTCCAGCCCTGAGCCACCCTCCCAGGAACCCCACAGATCCAGTCTTGACTGTCCCAATGGGGCAGGGAGGAAAGGTGGCCGCTGGGAGAAATTTTTTTTTCTTTTTTTCTTTTTGGTAATAAAAATTTTCTTGGTTTAGGCGAAATACTCTGTGCAACCGCAGTACCGAGGGGGAGCCCTGCCCCCCCCATCCCTTCCCTTGCCTCCTGTAGGGGAAGAGAGGAAGGAGGGACTTCTGGGCAGGGGTGAATGTGAGGGAGGAAGAACCATTTCCCATCCCCCACAAACATGGAAGAAAAAAACCGAGAAGGGCCTGGAAGGGGACAAGTGCCAGCAGGGGAGACACACCAGTTCGTCCTGCAGTTTCTCCCAGGGGGATGCAGGGTTGGCCCAGGAAGCCAAGTCCACAGGTGGGTCTCTGCTGCCCCCCTCCTGACAGCCTGTTAAAGCTTCAGCTCGTTGGCTATTTTGGAGGCAATGTTTTTGAAGGCCATGGAGGTGCCTGATATCCGCTTAAACCGAACGCCGTTGAGAGATAACCGAGGCAGTTTGCACACCTCCATCTCCCACTGCACAAAGTTCTCGTGGCCTGGGGTGCCGTGCATGCACAGCAGCATGTACCGCTCGTGCAGCTCGCTTTGGCAGCTGTTGGCGTCCAGCACCTTTCGGATCTCCCGCATCATCTCATTGGGCTCCATAGAGCTCGTGGTCTTCATGCTCCAGGTGAAGCGCAGGGAACGAGGCTTGGCCTCCCGAAACTCTTCCTTTTCCTTGTCATTGCCTCCACCGCCTACCACGTGGGGTCTGTGGAGAGGGTAGAGGGAGGGGTAAGATGGGGGCTGACACATCCCACCCGTGAGAGAGCCACCCTGGCAGGCAGACCCTGAGGCCACAGAGAAGCAGAGAGGAATACAGCGGCAGTTGGAAGAGGGAGCAGCTAGTCCCTTCCCTGGATGGCACACGGGAGGCCTCTGGCTCATCCCTCAGGATGGCGGGTGACAAGAGGCCAGTTGGGGCAGAGTAACAGTTCCATGCTGTTAACTGGTTCTGTTCTTGGGGATCAGGCAGGAAACAAGAGAACTGAGCAGCACCAAGCAGACTGTCCTCCTTGAGGGTGATGAGGCCGAGCAGCAAGGCCAGCAGTGTGGGAACCTGGAGTGCCCCTGCCCTGCCAGGGCTCTGGCTCCATAAAGCACCAGGACCTGAGGCAGGCCCAGAACCACTGCAGGTGGGCGTGGGAAAGGGAAATTCTCTGAGGAAAGGGAGCTCCCAAGAGGGAGGCAGGGCAGAATTGCCAGAGAAAGAGCCAGTGGCAGGAGGAAGAGAGGAGCAGGCGGCCGTGGCAAGCCCGGTGGCCTGGGCAGGGCCAGGAGTGCTGGCTCCAGCCCTCTCACCTGAGCGTCTCCACTCGGTCTTTGTTTTCAGGTTCATTCAGGTTCCTCAAAAAACAGAGCGAGGCAGAGTTTAGTCTGGGGCCTCTTGCTCCTTCCACCCTGCAGACCCAGGTGAGGTTGGGTCTAGGGACATGCCACCAGTGGGTGGGCAGGACCCAAACCCAAAAGCTACTTGCCAGTCGTCTACAGGCCAACTTGGCTTGGCAGTACCTCACTCTAGCAGCTAGATTGCCCCTTTCTGACAGGGAGCCCCAGCAGGGGGCTGTCCCTCCCCACACTCCCAGAGCTCAGCTCTGGGGGAGGAGGGTGCTGCTGTATAGGCTCTCGTACCCAGCACACAGCCCAGCACCAGGAGCTCCCCTTCCAGCCCACAGCCAGGCTCAAGTCACTACTGGAATGCGGGCTGGGAACAAATTTTTGTGCCAACAACCAGGGTGGCAGAATGAAGATGGAGGTAAAGGCCATTCTGTCTGTCTTGGAAGAGAGACTGTGAAAGCCTCTTACAGGGCGCACTGTGTCAAGACCTCTGGAGTTGTTAGGTAAACACCTGGGGTAGGTGCCTGTGGCCCAGTGGGCAAGGTCACTGTGATGCTGGACTGGCTGCTCATACAAGGCAACGGCTAGGCAGGGCCCTAGGGAGGTGAGAAAGAGGTCTGGCCCCGCTGAGCGGCTTCTCCAGCTCCTGCCAGGAAGATGAGTGCCTGGAGCTGGGATTCTGGGGGCTGTAGGGAAGAGGAGGGACAAGAAGGAGGAGAGAGCAGCAGCAGCACATGTAAAAGGAGCAAGAAGACACAAGACACAGATGCCAAGGAGCAGGCTGTGAGCAGGGCCCGCGTGTGCAAAGGACGGGCTCCAGCTGCTCTCTCCAGGCCCCTATGGGGCAGGCCCTGCCAGCCATGCAGTGAGCTGGGGTAGGGTGGGTGCGTAGGGATGTCTCAAGATCCCATCTGGCCCATCTATCCCTCATGTGGGAGCCAAGGCACCTGCCAAGCAAACCCAGAGCTCCCAATCTGGCCCTCCGTCTGCAGCTCAGTAGCTGGCGTACCTAGGCCTGCAGAGGACATGGCCAGGCTCAACAAGCCAGGCTCTGTCCCAGGAAGGGAGATGCAGGAGCAGGGTGTGGACCCCTGCCTGAGAATATCCAGCTCCTGGCTCTTTGGCAGGCTCAGGCGACATCTGGAGGAAACAGCCCAGAGGAGAGGAGCGTAAGCGCCCAGATGCTGTGCCAGGGTGGGCTAGGTCAGTTCTGTAGCACCCACCAGAAGGGGGCGCTGTATTGCATCTATGAGGCAAAGTCTTCTGGGGCCTGGAGGAGTCAGGCTAGCCAAGGGACCCTAATGTCCCTATAGTACCTCCAAAGTCCTTTCATGGCATAGTACAGGGGAAATAGGTCACAGCCCTGAGGTCCAGCAAGCCCAGGACACCCCCAAATGAGACATCATTCCAGATGCACCTCAAACCCGTGGAGGTTACTTGTAGCACATGCAAACAACAGGGGAAAGGGCCAGAAAGGGAGCCCAACGTGACCCAAACCTGGTTGGGTATGAGGAGACAATCTTAAAGGGAGAAACCTGAGGTCTCTTCTCTTCTGAGGCCATGCACCTGCAGACCCAAGGAGGCCCCTCACTTTGAAAGCCATTTGCTCTGAATGAACCAAAATGTCCTCTCAGGAGAACATGCATTCCAAGTCCTGCCAGTGTGAAGGGGCAGGGAGGTCAGCTTGGGGCTGAGACCCCACCAGAGAAGTCTTCATCCCTTTAAGATAGCAGACAGGAGGCCCACATATACAGGGTCAGCAGAAAGACAGGAAGCATCAGCCAACAGGGGAGTTAGTGACAGAGGCACGACAAAGACACAGAAAGACAGACACACACACACACAC